GAAGAGGGGGAGGGTACTAAGGGCCTGAACTGTGTGAATGGATGGGCAGTTAATGAATAGTTCAGGAAAAATTTTTGACCAAACTTGGTGCGCCAGATCGCAGTCACGTGTACGCTATTGATGCTAGTAAAATTCACCAACATCACCTAAATAACTGGCCTAGAAGCGCCGCACTTGTCATACGAAGCAGTGCGCAGTTGTTTGCTTGAGGTGTCGCTCGTGTGCACTGCTTAAAGCTTCCGAAATCTTTCGTCCAAGCAGCACTCGGTAATAGGTGATCAGGACCAGTTGACCGCTGGGTGACCGGGGTTAGCTGACTGTTACGCTCACTTATTAGTGATTAGTGCCCATTAGGCTGTATTCGTGCGGTTGCAGCAACATCCTGCATACAAATCAAATGCCAAAAAGTCTAACTGCTTATGTGGGCACTACAAACATCCTTTATCGCTGCCACAGTCGTGCGACGCATTCATTCTTTTGCTGTGATCAGTTTTTGTATCCGCATTTTATTGCTTTTCAAAAGTTGTTACCAAACTGCTGGAATAGTCTTCCCGATTTGATGCGTGGGGGCAATCGATATGTTTTGAAATTTGTACCAACTGGTAGCCCTTCGCGTATTTACTTTCTGGCCAAGATAAAATAGCTATCAGCTGCTTCCAACCTGAACGGTTTTTTCGGAAATCTGGTAGCGGTCGTTAGAACACTTTGCATTACTTCATTTTCGACGCGTTGATTTTCAAGCTCACTACCTTTTTGTCTTGCATTTCTGCAGCATCATTTTGACAACTGTCTTTTCAAGATAAACTATGTCATTCATTAAGCACGATTAGTTTGATTTCTATCACTGATGTCCAAAACATGTTCCCAAACCAACTTGCTAAACAGCATTTCAAGAGAGATTGTAAAAATTGCGTTGGTAAAGGAAGGCTCTGTCCCGCGCCTTTTTATGTGTTTTTGCTTATATGCAAATTGCAAAAACTCATATTGCAGCGACCCTGTCTGTGTGTGCATGTCTGTGTGTGTGTGTTTGTGTGTGTTCGTCTGTCCGGGTGTTTCAACTCGGCAACCAAGCAAGCTCAGGCGCCAAAATTTTGTTAGTGGATTCCCCGGCCTGTGCCACCCCAGAACCGTAATATCAGTTCTTGCACAAGTCTAGGCCCCACGTACGAGAGGTTGAAAGTTCTGGCGGGAAAATTGCTAACTCGGAAACGATAAAAGCTAGAAAGCAGAATTTTTGGAATTATGTTCTCCGTCCACATAGAACTTAAAGATTTCAAATTCAACCGCCGGGTGTGCGTTGTTTGTCGCGTACAGCCCCGTGAGGGTTCCTGACGCGAAAATCGCTAACTTAGGAACCAGGAAAGCTGGGAGGCTGAAATTTTTAAGGGATGCTGCCAGCCTATATACAACTTAAAGATCCTAAACCTAGTCCCCAGTTATGTTTCCAGGCCACGCGCGACCCCCCTGAAG